ATCCAAACTCATTTCCTCTGCCCAAAATAAAGTCTTTGTTATTCATTACTAAGCCTAGGCCGAAGGTGAACAACAAAAGACAAAATAAAACCTTTGTTTATTTTTTTCTTAAACATGATAATCGATTATCCAACATAGATAATCGACTATTGCTTCCCTCTGAATTCTCCTAACGTATTCCTGCAATGCTCCATAATCGATTATCTCCCAATAGAAAATCGATTATCACTCATCTCAGAAGATATCCAGTTTGGAAACCAGTCCTTGATAATCGATTAATCTTTTTGTGTCAATCGACTACCGGATACCTCAGAAAATTCTTGGTTTAGCAGACACACCTTGTTAATCGATTATCAGTAATAGATAATCGATTATCACCTGTCTCAGAACCTAGAAACCAAAGTGGTCTCTGATTTAACAGTAAAGGTTTTGTCATTTAGGAGAACACACTTGAATACATACCATTCCCACTATATATACGAAATTCCCATGTTATTATTCAACAAAATCAAAGACTTTTATAAGCTTAATCCCTCATCCATGTGCCTGCCCAAAAAGTCTTTGATTGAATAGTAATATCTTGTCCTATTACTCACTAAAAGTCAAGCCATGTTGTTTCCTTTATTCTCCCACCTTAAGGACAAAAATCATACATTAAGACCACCCAAAATACATGCCAAATCCCTGATCATTAACCTTGAATTCAACTCATTTGGGATATTAACACATGCACATCATTTGTTTTATTTTGTAGGAAAGAAGTGGGAAGTTTCCTTTGTTGTATTTTATTTATCATGTTTGTTGTATTGCTTTCTCCATTCCATGGCCTATATATTTCAGCCCAAAAAATTGCTGCTGGGTACCCCTTATTTTGAGATAAGGACTGGCAGGTCCCATTGTTTTTCAAAATATACTCTGAGGTACCTTAAGATATTTGAAAACTGACTCCGGGGTGACAATCCGTCATTCCCTCCGTTAATATTTCTTCTCCGTTATCCTCCTCCTCCTCCTCCTCCCAAAAAATTGCTGCCAGGTACCCCTTATCTTGGGATAAAGACTGGCAGGTCCCATTTTTTTTTAAAACTTACTCATAGGGATTTAACATATCCTTTGTTCAAAATATTACTTTATCGAATTAATATACAATATATGTTTTATTTAATAATAGGTCAAAAATTAAAAATAGTTGATTGAAAAAAGTCAAAACGTGACATATGCTCCGAGACAAAGATAATATTATGTACTCCCTCCGTCCTAATTCTTTCTTCCCAGTTTGACTTTTCCCCATTTTTAATTTTTGGCTTTGACTTCAAATTTTACCCTCCTTAAAAAAGATTTTTTGAATTTTTTTTGCAATCATTCAAAATATAGAGCTAGAAGATAATTGGTGTAAATACATGAGGGTATTAACTTTTTTTATTAGTTTTACTACTCTAAATCTTTAATTGAAAATTAATTTTAGTAATATATTTACGTATCATTTATAAAATTAAAATTATTTATTCATTTGGTTATAAATTATACGTCGTAATTCATAATAATATTAAATTTAACACTATTTTTATTGTTTCATCTTATTCTTTTCTCAAGTCCTCTTGTTTTCTCAATTTACCAAGACACCATTACCAATGGCGACTATCAAATTGACTAATGCGGAGTACTGTTTTTCTAAATAATAATGATTGTTACTCCGTATTTCTTAAAAATAGAGTAATAAAATTACTACTCTGCAATTAATTTCTAATAATAATTAAGGAAATAATAGGAAATACTCCGTACATAATATTATCTCTGTCTCGGAGAATATGTCACGTTTTGACTTTTTTCAATCAACTATTTTTAATTTTTGACCTATTATTAAATAAAACATATATTGTATATTAATTCGATAAAGTAATATTTTGAACAAAGGATATTTTAAATCCCTATGAGTAAGTTTTTTAAAAAAAATGGGACCTGCCAGTCTTTATCCCAAAATAAGGGGTACCTGGCAGCAATTTTTTGGGAGGAGGCGGAGGAGGATAACGGAGAAGAAATATTAACGGAGGGAATGATGGATTGTCACCCCGGAGTCAGTTTTCGAATATCTTAAGGTACCTCAGAGTAATTTTGAAAAACAATGGGACCTGCCAGTCTTTATCCCAAAATAAGGGGTACCCAGCAGCAATTTTTTGATTTCAGCCCTGGTTCATTGTATTAATCAGCTTGTAAAATATATTGTGATAATATAAGTTTCTTGCTCAGCTCTCTCTCTTTCTAAATTCCATATATTAAATCCTAATTCTATATCTTAAGAGTGGTTCTTTTAAGTGGGAGTTTTAGGTTCTAGATATATTAAATAAGTTGAGTGATTCCTTATTTAAATAGTAGAGTTTAACCCGAGTGAAGATAAGTGTGTGTGATTCCTCCTATATTCACTTGATAAATGCTTCTTTCCCTCTCCCTTGTTTTCTCCTGAATTCAGCCTCTCCTATATTTCTACATCCTTCTCTCCTTCTTCCTCTTCTTAAATTGATATCCTAGACCACCCCGGGTCTCGGGTACAACACCACCATAAATGAGTACGTGTTAGCAAACCCTTCATACATAACTCTCCGGTCAAATAACCATGGTCTCCCGAGAAGAATATTACAAGCTCTCATGGGCATTACGTCACACCACACGTCATCTTGAAAGGACTGACCCATGTTAAAAGAGACCAAGCTACGTGTATTCCCTCATCTAGATTCAACCACTGAATCTCATAAGGCTCCGGATGTGGTAACGTCTCTAATTTGAGCTTTTCCACCGCTGTTTTGGGAAAAACATTGGCACTACTTCCGCTATCGATGATCATTGAGCACACCTTCTTTTGAACGGGGCAACGGGTATGAAAAATACTCTCTCGGTGTGCGGACTCATCCCGGGCAGTCGCATGACTAATTGTCTTTTGAATGACCAAAAGTTCACCTTCGTCGGGGCCAACAATTTCCTCTTCTTCTTTCGGCTCTCCTTGAACCCAAAAGGGGTTTATTTCTTCTTCTTCACATTCAACAATAGCCATGATCTTCTTGTTTGGACAATCACTAGCATAGTGACCAATGCCTTGGCAACGTGATAAGTCCGTTTCGTTCTTATCATTTACATCATATTCTAAATGTTATTGCACGTAAATGGTATTTAATCATCTCATAAAATGTGATTTTAATGGATAAAGCTCTCATTTTCGTTCTAAGAGTCATAAAATGGGATTCCACATGAAATCATCATAAATCATCCATTTTTGTTCAAGTATTTGAGAAAAAAGGAATAAATCATCAAAGCATCAAGATTCGGGCTTGAACGAGCTTCCGGGAGGTCAAAAACAGTGTTCGGGGCCAAAACGGAGCGAAATTGGGCCAAAATCACGGAACAGCCGCGAAGCCCAACGGACCAAGGCCTCCAGGCGTCCAACTTGGACGCTTGGCCAAGTTGGACGCTTGAAGTTGGACGCCCGGGCTAAATTGCAATCCAAGAAAGACACGTGGCAAAATCTGGTTGGCCGGAGCAGCTCAAGCGTCCCGATCTGGACGCTTGGACTTGGATGCTTTGACTTGGACGCCTTGGCTTCGTTCCTATAAATACAGCGCGATTCTCCCCATTCAACACATCACTTTCACTCCCATTTTCGGGAATTGAGCCTTATATTCCAATTCCGAGTATTAGTGTAGTATTTTAGTAGTTTTGAAGTAATTTTTGGAGGAATTCTACTCCCGATCTGTTCAATTCCGCTTGTACGGAAGTTGTAAGTTCTCTTTATTTAATAAAATGCTGTTTTAATTTATGTTTGCATAGTATGAGTTAGTGTCCGGATCTCTGGGTCCGGACTAGTTTGGTTGTTTATTTTTGATGTTAAATTAATGTTGGAATGGTTAATCTAATGTTCTTGCCTTGTTTGGTTAATTAACGTCGGAAGATTTAATTAGCTATTTATTGAGAAAATATCGTATGCCAAAAGGCTATGATATTCAAGTACAACGGATTAAGTACAAATCTAGAAATGGATGAGTAGTAATAGAAATATTATTATTCCAATTGTTAATTTAATATGATAAAATAGATCCAAATGATGTCCTGACCCTAGGTCCAGATCTATACTTATACTATGTAAACTTAATTTATTATTTTTACTCCGCCCCTTTTTTACAATCGTTTCGAGAAGACTTTCATAAACCAATCCTAATCTTCGCCTAATTAGAGTAATTAAACTAATTCCCTCCGTCCACTCCTCGAGAGATACGACACTCGGAGAGAAAACTAACCCTTTATTGGGAAGGTTTACTACCCGAAAAACTACAATTGTCAAATGGCGCCGTTGCCGGGGAGTGGCACGGCATTAGTTTAATTTCTTTTAATTAGCTTGGGTGAAGATTGGTTAGAACGATCTTCTCACTTCCTTTCACCAGCCACCCGTAATAATTATTATGGATAACCCTAGTGGTTATTACGGTCCGCCTTCTTTCTACCAATCACCCAACCGCCCTCCGTTTCAAACCCATCCACCTTATCACCCACATCAGTACCCATATGATAATACTTACCAAGTCAACAATAGATCTGACTACTATCCCTACCATGAGGAAACACCATATGAAACCCCGTCTAGGAACTTTGGATATTTTCCATACCAAAATTCTGATGGGGATAATTATTATGAACCTCATGGAGATGAAGATGACTATGACCAATCTGGGCCTATGTATGACAATCAACCTGATCCACTCGTCGAGGAAATAATAAGATTAGAACAGAAAATCTTCTATTTCGACGAACTTTTATTCGCTGAAGGCTCTTGGTACGAACCACCTTACTCTCGTGACTACACTTTGTTTGCTGAAGAGCAAATTGAAGCAAACAAGGTGGCAATTCGAGAAAGAGCAAAACTTCTTGAGTCAGTCCAGAAGGAAAAGGAGTTTGAGAAGAGATTATGCGAAGGATCAAAAATGATGCAGAAAATGCTGGACGACTTTCAAAGAGAGAGACTAGAAGCTGAGTCTAAAGCCGATAAATTAGTCAATGATCTCTGTATGGCTGTTGAACTTAAACGCTCCCTCCAATCTCAAGATCAAATGAGGGAGATTAATGTTCAAAAAGAGGCTCTAGAACCTAAGACCAACCCTGAACCATCCAATCATCAGGTGCCAGTTCTAGAAGATTCACCAAGTTCTACACCATCTCAGAAACCTGAGAGCATAACAACTCTTGCTAGGGCTACTGTGGTGATGTTACCTGAATACCCTCCAAGCCAAGTCTCAACCGGCACAGTCGTACATGAGGTGGAACCAACTGAGGGAACTGACTCAGAACCACCTACGCACATTCAAGAAAAGGAGGAGGAAATTTTGCCAACGGCAATAAACGACCATCTCCTTAATTGTGTTGAAGACACACCTCCAGAGGAACCTGTTCTGGAGGAAGTAGAGCCCGTTACCTGCCCCCAAGATACCAATGTCCAAGTGTCTGAGCAGGAATCTATAGACAAGGAATTATTTTGCATGGAAAAGCCAACTCCGCTTATAGAAACCTGTGTACATAATGCTTCATCTGAAGATTCACACCATACCTTCTTTGACTTCCTAC